CTGGTGACTTTGGCAGTGAGTGGCACAGCAGGTTCCAGTGGTGCCGGACTGACAGTAATTTACACCCCGACGTGATATGAACCCGATGCTGTTCCTGTAGGCTCTGACTCATCCCATCCTCTCATCTCCTGCCGCCAGGTGCACACACTGCCTTCGCTGCAGTGAGGTCACACCTGTGCTTAGCTGTGAGTGCGCTTACCTGTGCTGTGAAGTAGCAGCAGATCATTTTCACTGGCAGAGATGACTTCTTTTCCCCACTACACACACTATTTAACAGTTTTGTGTTACCTCAGTGCTGCCTGAGAACTCATAAAATCTTGTATTTAATGGAGTATTTTCTGTATTTGAGTACTAGCAGCTGAGTGTTCCCATATGGCTGTTAATCCTTATTAAACATGTCCTAATACACTTTAGCTTGTGAGAAATGCTACATGGAAATGTATTTGTTAAAACCCATTTATGCAAGCTTGTGGAACCTCTGGCTCTGGTTCACATCACTCACCTGTCATGGGACACAGTGACCATGTGCTGCCATGTTGCTCCGATTGACCAGTTAACCTTGGTGCTGCTCTCTCTCCAATCTCCCTGTCCTCCATTAGCTGTCTGTTGTGACCACGGTGGCACAAAGTGAAATACCACTGGGTTTCTGCCATATTACTGGAAGTCTTTCCTGAGCATGCATCCCAGAATATCATGTAAAAGTGTGCTGGTCTAACTGGAACCGAAGCTCAGCCATAAGTCTGGCAGATCAGAATGCTCCTGTGCTGTTTGTACATTTGGGGAAGGTTCCTGTGCTAAGTCGCCATATCATGGATCCAAACTTTTGTGTATTTGTGAAGCCCTTATTGGCGCGGCTCCCTGTCAAACCTCTGAGGATCAAGTCAATAAAATACCCCCCGCCCCACCCCCGACACGAAAAGGCCCAATTCCTCCTCTCCCATCCAGAAACTGATGCTACATGGCAGCCAGTCCTGCCTGCCAGCCCACTGAACTGTGAACAGCTGCACACACACACCAGCATTAAAGTGACACAAACAGAAATGTAGTGCAGAGTTTTGCATGTACACACACAGAAACACATAGTTTGTCACACTCAGACACTTCCAGGATGAACATCTGCCCACGACCTGACAAGACGTACGTCAGTGAGACAGAAGCTTGTTTTCTTTCCCTGGGAGGATAAATATTTTAGGTGTCTGTGTGAGCTCCTCTCAGGTCCTGTGTGCTTCTCCTGCCTTTGGTAGGAGGCCTGGCTATGTTTGGCCATAGGACTGAAACAAATGGGTACCCTGTTGTTTTGATTAGCTGTACAAAATGCCAATCGCAGCCCGAGGTCATGACCTCACATCACCTGTTTTGTCCAGTTTTCTTCTGACTAACTAATCAAATTGTGTAACTGTTCATTTCAGCATTTCTTGCTTATGAACCTGAAAATCTAACTAGTGATTAGAGTAGGAAATGTCCAGTCAACTGTCTCAGTCGAAGTTGTCCCTGAAGATGTTAATTCCACTTTGGTCTTGCGTCATCAGGTTATTTGTAATATTTCGGTTTCCTTGCTCCACAGTTGGCTCTGCTGTGGCGTCAGTCACGTGACACTGAAGCTGCATCATGGGATGATTAAAGTGATGCATTGTCTCTGGATAGAATCAGTCTGAGATCAGTAAACAAAAGTCAGTGAGCATCTCCATCAGTGGTTGTGTTTGCACAACTGTTTCAACAGCAGCAGATAAGATGCAGCTCGTTGTTTGCTGGTTATGTGACTTCCAGATCACATTCAGTGGTGTTTGCTCGATGAAGCATGTTCATGAAAACACGTTCCCAGCGCTGCAACGTGATAAGATAATCCAAGTATTGTTATTGAGTTTTGGCTTTTAACTGGCGAGGGTGATTAGTGAGTCAATTAAAACATGTGACCGAAGCACACGAGCAAAGTGAGACAAAGCAGGGTTCGCATGCTAATCCTCATTTCCCCTGTACTCAGTCAGATGTGGTCTTTATTGCAGTGGATTGCCAACCAGCTTCAGCCTCTGCTGAAGAAACACGCTCAGCTGAGTGTTGGTTTAACCAGAATGGTCAAGTTAATGACAGGTCTCCCTGTCCCCTGGATACTATTTCCAGTTGTGACATGGTTCCAGTTCTAGTGCTGACTGGGTTAAATTGAAAACCCACTAAATGAGCAGTTTTACGTTGCAAAGCCGACTCTTGCTGCTGCTTTTTCTTTTGTGCTGGCTTAGTCTGATGTGGCCAGTTGATGCAGCCACCTCAGATTGTCATTTGTCCATGTAGAGACTAAACAAATGAGAAATAACCTGTTAATTTGTGAGGACTGCTCTTCTCCTCTTTGTGCAAGACAATGAATACGTGCATTTTCTTATTGATAATGCAAAGGTTTGACATAAAGACCTTTCACTTCTCATCTGCTGACTCCTGTTGTGTGGTTTTAGGCTGGGAGGCTCCACAAAAGAATGCCATACGTGAGGCTGGGCCTGTTTGACAGTGGTTACACAACTCACCTCGTCATTTTTGTAATGAACCCTCTGACAGAACACATACACACACCTAGTTACAGAAACATTTCCCAGTCCTCGCTCTGTGCATCTGTTCATTTAGACATGAGAACTGGGCCGCTCTCATCTTCTAATTTTATGCTTCCGTTGATCGTCCCTTTCTTCCTGCCACAGCCATGATTACTGCTGCTGGAGCACTTCCACTGACTCAGTTTGTTCTGCAGTGACACCTTACGTAACATGAAATATGCCCAGAGATAAGAGAGAGGGAATTGGGGTATAAATGGGTTAGAAATGCACAAAGAGCTGCCCCTTCAGTTTGACTAATGTATGCCATTGGTAATTATGACAGCAGAAAACCTTCCACCGCAGGACTTTGACTCAGAAGTACCAGGTTAGATCAACTTCAGCCTGGCACAGATCAGAGTCCTTCTCCACTGATGATGCATTTATTCTCAGTCCATGTCCCACTCCTCTCCACTTCCTAAACTAAGCTCCATTTTTCACCTGATTTGCACCTTGAAGCTGTTCTCTCTCCTCAGTCACTGGGCAGTCAGCCTAGTTTTCTTGCACCACTGTGTCATCATGTCCTAGTTCCCTTTTTGAAGTCATGGTGTAGTTTATGCACCAAGGTGACTGTTGTGCATTAGACGAAGTGAACGAGAAAGATATTGGTCACCCCCAGGTGTACCCTCCATTTGCCTCGTGTTCATTCTTTGTGTCCTTTGGGTTAGTCCCTGTGTGCTCCCACATTAACACTACTGCAGAAGCACAAGTTTCCTTGCTACACTTTAAATGAACTAATACTGAATAATGGCCTGTGCAAAGCAAAGCTCATTCTTGTGATTTTGCACAACACAATATGTGGTTCTGGTTGTATGGTGACTTCTTAGGGAACTACAGTAGCCATTGAACTACCCAGCTGGGACTGTGCTCAGTCACAGCACCTCCCATGCTGCTTTTATTGCCTCTGTAATGTTAATCTCCTGAGGCTTTTATGATTGTACATCATTTCATTCAATAAAGTTTTACAGACAACGAAGAAAGCTGTTGATTTAATGAACGTGCTTGATTGTTAGTTAACAAGCTTTTTACAGTAGCTCGTTGTTTTATTCAACAGCTTTTTTGCACCATGAACTCTTCTCTCATAACTGCCTGCAAACCTTTTCTTATTTATGGAGCAGTTTATACCCCCAAGAGGATCAGAAGTGACGGGTGCAACACAGCTAGCAGACCGCGATGGCGGCCTGCGTTTTGACCCTTTGCTCTGTTCCCTCAGAGGTTAACGCTGTCATCATTTTTACGCCGTACGTCCTCCTCTCTCTGCGACTCATCCCCTCGCTCTCTTCACCTTCTTTGCTTCCATCCCTTGCTGCTTTTCTAACTTTGAAACAGAAGGATTGTTAGAAAAGAAAGTCAGAGAGAGAGAATTGCGTGTGTCAAATTGTTGGGTTTTGCTGAAGATGCAGCAGAAGTGAAAGGGAAGCTCTGGCTGAGTGGGAGGCTGATTCACTGCAGAGACACAGACAGTAAAACGCTGCCTTTATTCTCGGCTCGTCCTTCACTTGTTAATGAAGGCTCGGGCCTTTGTTTGTCGTGTGAATGTGACCGACAGTTGGCCTTCTGTCAGGAGCAATGGAGCTTTGAATTTATATCTTGCTGTAAATGTGTGTGTTGTGAGGAGATTTGTGCACTGGATGTGGCCAGGTTACTACCCTGAGCCATTATGTTTTTCCACAGGAGACAAAAGCATAACTGAGTGAATGATGCCTTTTCATTTGAAACTGCTACAAATCAATTTAACAGGTCTATAGCCACTTTCAGGAATGAAAATCTGGCTTGAGTGGATTTGATTGTCAAAGAATGACCTTGTTTAAAATGATAGAAAAACAGTTTTTATTTGTCTGCATGTGTTTGTTGATCTGCAAATGCTAGATGCCATAGCCCTGTTGACTTCAGCTGCCTGTCTCCTGGGTCCTGTGTATTGGGTGGCAAATTACGACATGGAGCTTTAAAGGGTGTGTTACACCAAAATTCCCAAATTTCTTGTTGAAGCTAGTCATACTTGTTTTTATTTTTTAGAGTTTGATATGTTTCTCAGATCTGATGGTACTGTGGCTAGTTTCCACCAGAGATAAGTGTGGAAATGTTTTATTCATAATTTGGTTGAACTGGTCCTTTAAAAAAAAGCAATTGGCAGGAGCAGTGTGCCAGAGTTCAGGGAGGCAGTGATGGGTCCTGGTCTGCTGCTGGGCTGAGGGAGTCAGCAGCCAAATCCAGGTTTTATTTGAGTAGAGACAGCAGGGGAGGTGAGAGGAAACAAAGCACACATGCTCACGTACACTACAACACTCACACACATGTTCCCAGTCCTTGCTCAGCTGATTGTATGACTGTGCCCCAGTAAACGTGTTCTGTCACTGTAGCTCATGTTAATGTTTGCATCTTTCCTGCTTCTTCACTAATCAAACCTGCTGTTTTTCCCCTTTCCAGTCCATCATGGAGCAGTTTAATCCCTGCTTGCGGAACTTCATAGCCATGGGAAAAAGCTACGAGAAGGCAATCACCAGTGAGTACACCACCTTCTTTCATATGTCCAGCAGTCCAGGCAGAGGGCCAGCTGACCCGACACCTGGAGCTGCTGTTATAACCTCTGGATCTACTTCTGGTAGAGCTGAGGTGTGATGACAACACAGATATTCAGCAGTTTCTAGTGTTGTTGATGTCTGCGTCAAACCAGAGTCCCCTCAGGAATTCTCATTCATCCATTTCAGGCTTTGACCTAGATGCAAGTTTGTTGCTCTGTCGCAAACGTGACAGAGACAGTCATCGAATATTTGGTGTCAAAGAAGTTACTGAAAATCTTTTTCAAATGTCAGAGTTTTGCTTGAGCTGACACTCTGGAGTTGATGTCCATGTCCTCACATCTTCCTCCCTGCACCAGTCCATCAGTCCTCACTGTCCACCTTTTACTGTGTGTCACTGCTCTCTGTGGCTTCACAGGTGTGCTCACCTGGTCATCTGTGTGCATGGGAGAGACTGGCTTACATGGAGCAGCTGCTCAAAGTTACAGACAAAAGAACTGGAAATTTCTTGGGGTGCTAAGTGGAGCATAAGCCAGTGGGAAGTGGAGCAGGAGGAGTCGTGAGAATAACTGTGATCCCAGTGGGGCGGAGGAAAAGGGAGCGGATGGAGCTGGTATCCAGGTCAAGCTGGGGGAAAAAATAAAAGCAGGAAGAGCTAAAGGGAAACGACTAGGAGAACATGTTTAGATGAAATATAGGAATATCCTGCAGCTTATTGTTGTTGTTTCATGAAGTTTGATTAGACTTCATGCTTCCAGATCAGATTCTTGCGGGTCACCCTGCAGGGGGGAGCCTGTTGTCAGCAAAGGTGCAGCCATGCTCGGTGTGTTGTGAGCGCATGTTGAGTGCTGCCCTCCTTTTTTGTTCTTGGAGGGGAAATGCAGGGAAGACTGAACAGCCTAAACAAACAAAAAAAAAAAACATTTATCTGATAGATGAGGCTAAAAATAGCCCTGCGACTCCCTGAGGGGGGGATTACACTTCATCAATGCCCAGCAGCAGCACAGAAGCAGGGTTTAGAGCAGAGCAGGTTGGCCATCTACTGTCACTGGAAAGATGCCAGCGCTGCCTCCTCCTTTCACTAGAACTGGGGCGGCATGTTTGTATCTGCGGGGACGTTGAAGAGTGGTGTGATGCAGGGAGGAAGCAGTCTAAGTCTAAATGTAATGGGCTTTATTGGACTGGATGTGGTGTTTGAAGGTTAGTGCAGCTCTGTACCAGACAGGAGCTGTCAACCTGGAAAATACTAGACCTTTTCTGGGGCAGAGAGAACGTGTGTGTGTGTGTGTGTGTGTGTGTGTGTGTGTGTGTGTGTGTGAAAGGGAGGACAGAGCAGTGGGGTGGTGACAGAAGGTCATTTGATTTGATTGATGTTGTGTTGAGCACATTAGCATAGGGTGCATAGACTCTTTGCCTGTGTTTTATTTACACTGACATTTGGCATCACTGTTCTAATGCTCTTTACAGGCAGATCTTCCTCTCTTCTCCTGCCTCTCGTTCATTCACCTGGCCCCCGCTCCTCCCAGCTGGGATTTTTCCAGACATCGATTTAAATTAGCCACGCTCACCCAGCCATCTTAGCTTCACCTCCATCTCCTGTCACATCCCCGTGTCCCACCTAAGCTCAGCTCATGTCTGGCTTGTCTCGGTCACAGGATGCTGCACGGCTGTGTGAAGATTTACCAGCTTTATCTCGGCTCATGGGTTTTGATACAGAAGTGAAAAAGCTATTTCAGAAGTCCTCTCCAAACTGTCTTGATCAAGAAATGACATTTAAGAATATTTACCCACTGAGCGACAGACATCTTTATTTTCAGAACAGTGACTCGCATACATAGCAGTGGGCTTCGCTCAGAATAACTAGAAGTGACAGTTATTTATGTTTTTAACTACCTCTCTCTTGGCTTTTCTATATGAATGTTCTGTGGCAGTTCAAGGCACAAACACCCATTAACATGACAGCTCTGCAGTCGATTCACCACTCATCCATATGTATTCATCGACTGGACATGTCCTCTGTCATCATGGCTGTCAGTCCCAGTGTCGCTAACACCTGAACGTCGCTGCTGCTTGAGGACATCTTGTCCCTGTTTGTAATGCCTGAGTCACCGTCCTGCCTCAGCCGGTGTCCCCTGCCTGTGTGAGAGGGCAGAGTGCTTTGGCATCATTGCTGTGGAAGCTTCTTGTCAGGATACTTTCATGTAGGGAATTTTTACCCTGGTACTGTGAAGGATTTTAAAGAGTCAGATCATTAAAATGCAAACTCTTTTTACTTGGTGACTGATTTCTTTAAACGGTGTAAATTCAACTTGATCAGTCTCCAGGGCGATCGCTGGGAGAGGGGTTCAATAGCATTTTATCTGATCTCATCAAACCCATTTCTAAATCCACATCCTTGTGTTATCACTATGATCTAGACTTGGCTTTTAATTTTCTCCAAATACCAGGGGTCTTGATTTCGAACAGTGATGCTGATCATCTTAAATTACTGAAATGATGTACGTTAAAGATTAAGTGAAAGATTTCAACTACTCAGACTGATGTGTCATAATCAGCAGGGCAGCATCATCCTGTAGAGAAGTGCTGCTTCCTGGTGAACTACTTCAAAATATAAGCACAGAATTAATGTTGCTTACCTTGCAATCACCATGACTAAGGATAGTAAGTGCTGCTGTGGCGGTCACTCCTGTGTTAACACCTGCTAGGCAGTGTTTTGTCTGTAAGCTTTCTCTTTTGTTCAGCCTGGCCTTCGTGGTTCGTCTCATGTCCCCATCAAGGCAACACCTTGACTTTTTGTAGTACAGAGCGGTGCTTCTTTCTCTGACAGTCTTTGGCTAAATTCACACACTGGTCTTAAGGGAAGCTGCTCATGGACTGGACAGTAAGCCCACTGCCTGAAGGTTATGTACATTGCTCCTTGTGATGAAAATAGATGGCACAGTACAAATAAAAGCTTTGATTTCACATTTTTTGCCATCTTAGAATTGGATCCAAAGTGGAAGTGGCTACCAACACCCAGTCCTTGTGGAGGGATAAGTATCAGAGAGATTAAAACTTGCATCGCTGCATACCATTATGGGCCAGAAAGAAACTGTTTTGTCCTGTTTTTGATCATTGAGTCCAAAGTCAAATGTGCTTTTCTACCTCATCGTGCTTGAGATGAGTCACTATAGCTTTCTCTCTGCTTCCTGTAGTTGCTTTCATAGAGCTTTTTCTTTTCTTGCCTGGTCTCCATTTCAGCCTGTTGCTCTTTATTTCCCATGCCAAGCGTTACCTCTGGGGGTAGGGGGGCGCTGCAGGGGAGGGTTGCAGAGCTGAAGAAGACATCGTTTCAACTCTGCCCCCTTGATCTGATGCCCAATGCTTCCATGTTTCCAGGTGTCACATATGCTGCAAAGGGCTACTTCGACGCTCTGGTGCGGATGGGCGAGATGGCCACCGAAAGTCAAGGCTCTAAGGATCTCGGTGAGTCCTTGTAGTGACTGTAGTGCCCCTGATGGGGTGGAGGGGGGCTGCACAAGCACAATGTGGATGGATGGCTGGTGCTGTAGAGCCAAAGCAGCTGATAACAACCTGAAACTGGACACGGCCTTTTCCCCCAGTAAGTCGGTGCTTAAAGGCTGTGTAAATCTTATACATAGAGTTAATTTGCCTTTTTCTGTAGTTTGCCTCTTACTGATGTATTGTCACCCACAGCTCATGAACCTCATGAGGAAAAAGTCAAATGCCACTGACAGAATGTCAAACACGTTCTGACTGGGAACAATTAACTCGCAGTGTTTGTCATAGCTTTTGGTTAGTCTCTTGTTTTCTTTACATTCAGGAAAGAAAGGCTCTGCAGTTGTTTTTATAAAGCACCACTGTGAGCAAACTATGAACTCACAAATTTGTTTGGAATTTGATATTCACACAGTACACATGGCAAGGTGGCTTTGCCCTCTGTTCCTAATACGCCCTGAGTATATTAACTGTGCTAATGAAAGTCTTCTGGTTTGAATGCTGCTCCCAGCAGGATGTGAGGAGCAGCTCTCACACAGCAGGTTGTCTGGTTCTGGTTGGATTAGCTGTGGCTCTGCTCATTAAAGACTTACCTTTAGGGATCGTTTGCATAGGCGAGAATCTCTAGCAGATACACAGGAGCATTTGTATGAAGTTAGACAGGCCTCTAACGTTGTTGCTGAGATGGTCGCATGTCTGGGAGTCTGTCCCGGATAGTCCCGGATCACTGCAACGTCTTCCTTCCTTTACCCTGATGTGTTTTAAGATAGAAGGCATGGACTGAACTGGCAGAGCAGAAGAAAGGAGGAGGATAAAGTTTGGATATAGGAGACGAGTAAGGAATTTATAAAAGCGACATTCATTATTCATAGTGGTGCTCCCCTGCACATCCTCTGGAGCGTCATCGTTTCATTTCTCATCCCTGCGTCTCTTTGAGTAAATAATGAGTTAGAGGAAGCTTGTGTGCCCACTCTCATTATGAATTCTGAAAACCCATTACTGTTCCTCCATTCAGCATCAAACTGCACACGTCCTACACTTGTAACCACTGTAGGAGAGTGGATGCTTAAGGCACAGTGGTTCCTCTGCTCTAATCTTGCAAACTCGGTGAACATACAAACTTGTGGTTCATCTTATCTGCTAAGTATAAGTAAACGCCTTCACAAACCAAAATGGTTTATTCCTGGATGTTAAAGAGTAAATACTGTTTTGTGTTCTGCAGATGTTACAACTCCAAAACATTCTCCTACATTTTCAGACATTAAATTGGATGAATTTCCTTGACTTCTACAGTAAAACACAGTATGTTCATGTAGTTATGTAATGCATGTTTTTGTTTTTAGGAAATAATGCATCTGAGTGAGTATGCAAGACTTTTGACAATAGCAGATTTTTAGAAAAAATGCCTGCGGATGTTTTGAGGTGGTGTGCAGTCTCCCTAACAGGGTATCCCGTCATCCATCCCCATTTCCATCAGCACTGTTGCTATGCAGTTCTGCCTTCCATGACTGTGCTTCTGTCTTCATGCATGTTTTGTGTTGCTTTTTGATTTCTTTTTCTGGCAGCCGAACCATGACTCAGCAGCCCTTTAATGCAGCAGAGCCTCCCTCTGCCTCCAGTGAGGATGGACCAGGCCGAGGAGAATGGATTAATGCTGTCTCCACATATCAGCAGGCTCAGAGCGGCTGCAGTCAGTGCAGACTGAGGGGGAATAGCTCAGACGACACTTACCGCTGTGTGGATGCTGTAGCGTGTTCCATTTCTCGTGTTGAGCCTCAGGGTTCCAGTAAACGAGCCTGCAAATTGGAAAATAACCTGTGAAAATGCAAAGACAGTAAAAGGTAGTTTTAATGAGGATTCTTAAATCATAACTTTAAGGTGGACTTGATGGCTGTAGTAAGTCATGTACACAAACGGTGGCACGTCATCCATGGCCGACAGTGTTTCCACAGATGGAGAATTTGTTGTGGTGTGGGGAGCTCGTACACATCCTAAACCAGCAGGGATGCTGCTGTACTCATTAGGCAGGTTCATTGATCTGGTACAAAGTGAGCAGCCTCCCAGAGCCGTGAACTATATTTTAACGAGAGGTGGTGGTGGTTTGGTGCATTCAGGAGTCCTCTGTTCTGGTATCGAGGAGGTCAGAGGAAGCACTGGGTGCTGTCGTTATTTATTAGCAGACTGGGACTGCATACTAGATTGTGTGTGCACAAAACTCTGTGTGACTGTACATTTCCTCAGCCGGCACATGTCTTCAAATGTGACCAGAGCTAAGACCACAGAGCCTCAGATGAGAGAATGCCTGTTTGTCAGGGATAATCACTCACCCCAGGCTTTACCTCACGCTTCATAATTGCTAAGGATTGAAGGCAGATTTGTAAAATCGGCCTAGTTGTAATTGTTCATTTAATTGGGTTTTGTTGAGGAGAAGTGTCTGGGAGCGACAAAGCTGAATTTACAGGGCCAGACTTTAAACCGCTTGAACTCTCTGAGTGAATTCTGGCAGGAAGGCTCTGTTAACTCAGACTGTGCTCGTTAGAACAATGTAATTAATGCGAGCATTAAGATGAGCAGCAGCTAACAGCATTAGCACATGGACCGAGACACGGAGCCGCAGGTGACCAGGCAAAATAAGAAGAAGGTGGAGAGTGGGGTTTGAGAAACTGAGGTTGATGGGGAGAGTGAAAAACATCATATCTGGTGGAGAACGGACTCCACTAGAACTGGATGGTTGATAAGTCACCTGACACATGTCTGGACTAAATGGACATCGTCACTTCTGTTTTTGTAGGAAAGCCAAACACTGGTCAGGAGAGATGAACAATTAAACATACCACTTCAAATGTTTTGGCATGAAAGTTAATACTTTCTAAGTTATGTAGTTGTGGGACTTGGTACCGTATATAGGACAGGTGACACCAAGAAGGAATCATTTCCTTTTGAATCTGAGGCTGAGTTTTGGAGAGTGTAGTAATTTGGACTGAAGCAGGCAGATACTCCTACATGTGCAGGAGTCAGGAGGTTGCAGCTGTAAGCAGTTTCTCCTGCAGCGTAGTTGAACATGGTGAATCTGGCTGTGGAAACATGTAGGGTATCAGCTTGTGAGTGAAACCCAAATGGGCACATCAAGCTGCTGCAGTCCCTGAGAATCATGTGGGTTGGTATTGATGAGGTTTGTGCAAATTCTGGTTCTCACTGACTCATGTGGTCCTAATTGTATTGTCTGAGTGCAGAAGAGAACAGGAAGGATGACGAATGCATCGACAGCAAAGCCGGATACTTTGTGTGGCTCATCACAGCCTTCGTGTGTGTGTGTGTGTGTGTGTGTGTGTGTGTGTGTGTGTGTGTGTGTGACTATGGCTTGTTATTTCCACTGGAATACTTTGGCAGTGTGTAACTTGAAAAGCAGAAGCAGGTGACAGTTTAATGGGAGATTTAAGCTGCCTACAAACGCAGATGGACACACAAACCGTCCCATGTCAGTTCAGACTGAGTAATTAATATGGGGAGAAAAGCACTAGAGGATTATTATCCACTTTCGTAGCCCAGAATAAAAGAACTCCTCTCCTCACAGGGATGCTCAGTTTTGGAGAGTGGTGTTATGTAGCACTGCTGATGCCACACAGCCCTGAGAGCTTGGAACAGGAAGAGGAAATGATGTCTCACTGTGGTCCATTCACTTGTTCTTAATTTACATGATGCTGTCAGTCTGAACAGCAGCTCTGCGGCATGACTCCCTGTGTAGAGACGAGCTCCTCGACGACCGCACAGTGAAGTGTCATCCCACTCATCCTCTCCTCTTTCACTACTGCTCTCTGTGTGTCTGTGAACGCCCCCTCATTGATGTGGGAGCTCAGGCAGCCCTGGGAGAACACGCCGACTCTGCACATAGGCCTAAAAATAGATGAAACGAAACACCTCGACTGAAGGAGGAGAGACAAAGTATGATGCTCGATGCACAGCCCAAAAATGGCTCGTCGGTGATGTCAGAATGGCTGAAACCCTCTTCGTCTCTCTTCCGTATACTAAATATGGGCATGCTGGCGGGGTGGGGGGGAATAGGAAGCTCCTGCAGTTCCGGTTCCTGTCTCTGCCCATATAAGGACTCCACCATTTAAATGCTAATGTGAGCAGAGGTGGTACTCACTCGGGTCTGTGCTCTGGCACACAAACCTCAAGGAAGCACAGGCACAAGGAAAAGTGTTATTTTGCTTTATATAATCTCACTGCGGTTGGTGCATTTCATGCTCCTCCACATGTCGCATCCTGTGTCACCAGGACTTCAAGCTGTGGCTTTTATTTCTGTGACTGAGAAGGATATTCATACTGCTGCATCAAGACATGCAGTCTATTCTACGTCGTTCCTCAAGTTCATCTCAGCATTTTTGGCTTTTACAGATTTATAAGAGATCGGTGTAGCCTTGGCTTCAAATTGTAATAGCAGCCAATAAACTCCCAGAGATTAAAACCAAAACCGTGCAGTGTTAAACATTTGCTACTAGATATTTCCTCCTGTGATGAAACTCAGTGTCCACATGTTTTCCTCTTGTACTTTCTGGCTCTAATTAAATCTTCTTGCTTCCCTCTCCTCATCTTTCTCTTATATATTCCCACCGCCCTGGGCAAAATATGACATCCACCTCATTAAAGCAGTTTAAGGTTAATTCAGATGATTCATGAAACAATTACCTCATGGCTAATCAATTCATAGCAAAACGATTTAGAAGAGTGTGTTGTCCTTCAAGGCATATTCCTCCACTTTGTTAGACTAGTGTAAAAAGATCCTCACTCTCTCCAACGGGAGCAGATAAGGCAGTGCTTTGACAGACCCGATTAGGCAGCAGCAGGAGAGTGTGGTTCAATAACCATCAGTGGATTTGACTGATTAATTTTATCCTCATTTGTCTCTTTATTAATTTTACTTCATCTGGGAGAGAAGTGGTTGAAATCAGCACTCGTGCTGCACGGCTGAACGGCAGCTGCAGGGCGAGAAGACGACAGCAGTAAGAGCTCAACACCTTGGTGACACTAGCTGCTGCAGAGTCAGCAGGCATCTCCAAGGGAGGTTCTTCTGAAATACTGGTGATTATTTTCTCTCTGTGTCTTGCTTGAAAATTACTGCTGCTCAGTTCTAGGACAAATTGATGACCTCACTCTGAGACCGCACAGGCTGTTGCCCCCCGAACTTTGACCTCTGTCTAAATTCAGCCAGCGTTCGCCCTGCAAAGGAGGAGAACACAGCAAATACAGCACATTGTACATTTTTCCCTGCCTTGTCATCTCAAACTGTAAAACCTCTTACTCCCAACTTTATAAGAGTGAATGTGACATTTTGAATCATCAGGTGATGACAAATCTGTGAACAAATGGAGGATATTACTGGAGTTCAGACTTGGAGTTATATAATGCTGCGAGGCTGATGATGTGCTGTCACAGTCCAGGCTGAGTGTTAAGTGGAGAGGAAGACAAGATGAAACCCAGAGAAACTTAAAGTCGGTGATGTGACTTTGTGTCTTGTAGAACTGGAGAAGACGTGTGCAGGATTGGGTCTTGTTTTAGACTGAAGGTCTCAGTAGAGCAGCCAGTGAGGGGACCACAGGCGCTTCCTGACCTCCCAGAGTGGTCACTTGAGCCAAGCTGTCATGCTACCCAGAAGGCTACTGTGACCTGGGGGCACCTGGGGCAATCGGGCCAATCAGGCAGACATCGATTTCTACTGACGTGCCCCCTGTGGTGCCATATTAGGGTATAACTGATGCACACGGGTTGTATGTGGGAACAGTTTATTTCCCAACCTGTCATGTATTTTAATTTCCTTGGTCAGTCTGAAGACGTCTTCAGAGCGGCTCCACTGCAATGGCTTAACCCTTTGCTGCCCTTTAGAAAGCCTGAGTCCTTGAGCTGCCCCAGGAGGCGAGGGCAGAGAAACGGAAAGAAGACGCCTAATGAAGGATGAGGAAGGCGATGTGGTGTGTTCCCGGCTCATTAGTAGCCTTCCTACAGCCTGTGGTCACATCAAACCTTCGCTGCCAACAGAGCACACAGACCCAAAGAGCAGCACTTTGACCCCCCCACCTATCATTTCATTACTACAACCTACACTCCCTGTCTGCTGCTCCTCTTCTTTCATGTTTCCTTCACATCCATCAGCACTTTCTAACACACTGCGGTGTCAACAGACCGGCTCCAGACAGAGATCAGAGCTACGCACTAACAAGCTAGACTATGGGGTGTCCCACTGTCCTTGATGTGGGGATGCAGCCAGATGTTGACTTGATAATAATGTGAAGCACAGGCTCTGACCGGAGGCATTGCCCCGTACATACATACAGTACATACTGTTCTGGCTATGTTTGTAATAACAGACAAAAAATAAAACAATCCGTGGAGCTGTTACAGGTGATATTCTCAGTTTATAAATTAAACCATGAAACACAGTAGCGCTTGTCATCTGTTCGGGAGCTGTCGGTGAATCCTCACACACTGTTAAATGCTTCCTTTTTATTGAAGAAGTGATTGTCTGGTAAGCCTACACTGTGCTGTAAACCTCTGAATCACAGACTTAAACAATAATCTGCCTTTGTTTAATTGGGCTGGGTGTTTGTTCGTGCACTCACTTAAATCCTGCCTTTTGTTTTTATTTCCAGGCACTGCCATAAAATGGCAAGAACCCTAATGAGTGTTAGACTTTTGAAAGTTGAGAACAAAAGATTTCACGTCCAACTTGCAGTCGTAGGGGTGTTTTCCTCTGTGCAAGAACTTTCCATAGACAAAAGCGGCATTTGTGTCTTGTTGAACTGATCCGGACCTGTGCAGAAAACAATGTGCTCTACTCCCCTCTGAGCCTCGGATGTCGTGATCTGCTCTGATTATCAGTAAGCTGCTTAGCCCTGGCGGGTAGAAGGCCAGTGTTTCACAATGCAGGGTGGAGAGGTTTTTAGATCAGATGGGTGCAGTGAAACAATGACACTGAGGAAACTGGGAACCTTCCAGGGGATAAAATCCTACAGGACAAAGTCATGTGTTCAGGACACAGTGATACGGGCCTGCACTGGGAGATGTGTTGGCTTTTACGGCAGCTTTTTCTTTCAGTCATTAGGACTTAAAGCCAGATCTCAGCAACTAGTGAGCATTTTCGGCCAAAACCATGGAGATACAGTAAGACCCAAGTTGTTAGCAACAGATTTATTCTTAGAAATATTAAAAAAAAAAAACAGCATATCGCATTGGCTGCAGGAGCTGGTGGCAAGAGGACCTCTGATCTATCTGCTCTGTCGAAGTGTGAAGTGCACAGAGTGCAGCTGGAGCTGAGCGCTGACCTGCCAGAATAGGAGAACCAGTGGGAGGACAGCTCCTCATAGGAAGCAGTGGAGAACAACCTTTATTAGCCAGTCGATGATAAACACATCCGTTATAAGAGCCAGAACTATTGACCAAGGCTCCATTCTTTATGGTGCCAAGTGTCGTTTATCCTACAGTGGTATTTCATTCCCAGCTGTGAAAGACTTTGTAATAGCAGAGAGGGGGAGGGGAGTAAAGGCAGAGCGAGGATGAGGGGCGATGTCTTTGTAAGTGACCTATAGGGGGAGTGAGCACAGTGTCAGGGTTAACTTGTGTGTGTGGTGTCAGAAATCAGCGGACACCACCCTGCAGAATGTCCTTATGCTTTAACACGACAAATAACACAATATGGTAAACTGGTTATCATGCTTCTATAATTCTGGCAGTGTAACAAATGAATGAATGCCATGCAAATTAATGCATTAGCTGCTTTCATTAATAGTGTTGCATTCGCATCTCTTACTTAAAAAGCGCACTGGCCTGATCCATGTTCTTGTCCGTGGCTGAATTTTATTATTCCACCTGCAGTTAGTGTTTGCAGAATAACATCTGAAGGCAGTTTTACTTTTTGCAGCTTAGCATTTACAGGCTGTGCATTTGTGTGGCTGTGCTCATGTCCAGCCCAGCCACTGGTTCCTGGTGATGACTGGTGGATTTTGATGGCATGGACCGTCTGTTGGGTGCCCTCCAACAGTGAACACGGTGTGTGTGTTTATCTGCTGCTAATCGCCCCGTCCTGCCGCAGTCAGACACTAGCTGTCACTGTGTTTCCATAAGCAGATGGATGGCGTTGTGTTGGAGACGAGAGCACTGTGTTAGACTCTGGACAAAACAGTCTTGTGTTTGTGTGTTGTGCATGTACAGGTAACGCTTCCTGCCCAGTCTACCATATACATGTGTGACACACTGTGCAAATGTAACTGAGGAAGTTTTACACTACTTTCTTCCTTTCACCTGTGCCCCCACCTTTGCTCCACGCTTTTTTAAAGTAGCTTTTCTGCTCCAGCTGAGTCCCGTCGGGATGACCGCAGCACTTCCATTAAGCCCATTAATCCTGTTCAGATAGCCCACTCTCACACTGTCCCCTCTGACTGTCCACCGACGCACACACCCACACTCAGCTGCAGCAACGTACGTTGTCTGATACATACATTCTGCAGAAGAGTGCCATTCATGCATATTAGTGGGTTCATTTAGAATAAACCGGCTCTCACGGTGTTTCATGGTGGTGTGGGGGGGGGGAATAAACATCAGACTTTATGTTACCGCAGGCAGTTTCACAAATGTGCCAAGTCCAAATGTGTATTTACTGTAGACATGGATATTCTATATCGATGGTACCATATATGTTGGTAAATGTGTAGTAAGTCGTTGCAGTACAGATGTTTTCATAAATAAGGTGTCATATACACTGAGTTTCATTAGTTTTTATTTATAGTACTGTAATGTTTGGTAAAGATCAGTTATAATATTACTATGATTTAACTTGTATTTAACTGTTGCTGCCGTCTTTGAAAAATAAAATTTTAAGATTTGTTTAGCTTAGTCTCGCCTCGGTACGAGAGCTCAGCTGATACAGGGAGCAGAGAATTTGTCAGAACAAGTAATGTTATTAACATCGTTTTACAGAAACGTGACACATTTTTAAATAAGCTTGTGTTGCATCCTACTGGCCGGCATTCAGTGCCCACTAACATGTTGGGTTCTACTCTGTACATATCTTTGTCAGCTTTTCTTGGGGGTGGGGGGGCAGATTTTTTTTTTTTCTAAAAGCAACCTTCTGTATTTGATAGTGATATGATATTAAAAGGATGTTTTTTACTTTCAAATAGCAGCATCCGTTTGAGGGCTGCAGGCTCTCACTGGGCTCTCCGGTGTTTTGGTGGGGGCGCTGACTAACTGCCTGTCTGTTTTTCTGTGTGAAACCTGTCGTGTGTCTCACTTCTCTCAGGGTAGTTTGATCTCTCACTGTCTCTATCCTTCCGTTCTTTGCTCAAACTAGATCTTTTTGTTCCTTTTTTTTTTTTTTTTTTTACAATGCATTTCATTTTCAGAAGACGCAGCATGTAGGTATCTTAAAATGACACGCTCCTCCCTAGCTGCATGATCCGTCCTTGAATTTCAACTTTTGTTTTTTTTTCTGTTGTTTTTAGCTTTTGACTTCTTTTTGGGTTCTGCTTTTTGGTGTTTCCCCCTGTTATGTTGTACTTTAATGTATGTTTTAATGCAGATAAAATACTTGATTTTTACCATTTTAAGGCTGTTCCTGTGTGTTTCTTGGCAGTAGTGTTGTAAGCTCTTGGTGATATGGAATCCTTCATACTGTAGTTTGGTTTCAGTCTTTAAAACATTTAGTAGATTTCTTAGTCAACTCATCATTCTGTCTGTGCTGCTTACTTCTGTAATGCTCCTTTGAGTTTGTCACTGATTTGCTTCGTCATTACCATGACTGATGTTTCATCTTGTCCATTGCCGCCTCCTCCCTCAGCGCCACACACATGTCTCTTATCCATCCTCTGTGGCTGCATGGTCTTTTTTTGCACGATGTTATAGCTCTCACAGACATTGGAAAGATTTAATATCACTCTCTTCTCTCTTCCCCTCCCTCTCTTTGTTTGTTGTCTTTCTTTTCTTTGTCTTCTCTCTGCAGGGGAGGTGCTCTTTCAGATGGCTGAAGTGCACAGACAGATCCAGATCCAGCTTGAGGAGATGGTGAGCATGTGGTGGTGGTGGTGGTGCTAAAATCAGTACTTCTTAAGCCACGAGTTGGGAGCCAAACAGATTGTGGGTTGTTTCTGTGGAGTCTCCACTTTGCAAGATTATTTAATATGCAGGAAGACCCTTTCTTTCCTGTGTTTGAGTAGCTTCTATTGTCCTTTCCTCTCATGGAGGCAGCAGCTTCACTTAAGCCTGGTTTGTTTACTGAACTTCTGATATGTAAATTACAGACCGACAACATTTTCCATTTGAGCCTATGTAGTTGTGACGACATTAGCAGGGAGCTAAGAAGCAGTGTAGCTTTAAATCCAGAGTGTGATATAAAGGGCATTTTAAATTGTATTTCTTTTCATCCATTTGTATAATGGGTGTCAGAGATCCAAGGCAGGATGATGCACAATTTGCAGACAAGACACTGAGCAGATGCTTCTCTTCTCCAGAGACTGAGAATTGACAATGTGAAATCACTTGTACAACACAGACCTGCTCTCCACTGACACCCAAAAACAGTCTACATGTCTGAGCGATGAACCCAGTGCTGCTCGCAATCAAATTTGCTAGGAGTTCCTGCTTTTTCAGCAAATATCCTGCTGATAGGAGGCAAAGACAGAGCTGAGAGGTGGCGACGTGCAGCAGAAGTAGTGCTTTTATTGATCACTTAAAATACAGCAGAAGGCGATGTAGAATATAATGTACTGTGTGTAAAGTAACACCGTTTCCTCTGTGATACTTCACCACCACCTCAGTATTGCCCTCTCAACTTGCACAAAGACAATAAATTGGCTTTGTCATGCATGTTGCATGCCAGACACCCTGCCTTGACACTCTGGGTGTGACACTTCCAGTGACAAAACAAATACAACCTTATTCTTTTATGAAAATATTCCACATGAGTGTGTAACATCATCTGGTTTATTTTGTGTTTTTGTGCATTATACAGCTGAAGTCTTTCCACAACGAGCTGCTCACTGAGCTGGAGAAGAAGGTCGAGCTGGATGCACGCTACCTGAATGTGAGACAAACTCCCACTCTCTCATTAAGCTAGCTGAAGATGCTGAACTGCACTTTTCTTAAAAAAATGCTTAGACTCCTGTTGCTTCTACTCGACATTCACTTTATTACCAACTCGTTTTAGTGAAGTAGTTTCACTCATAGTTAATTTACAATTCCAGATTGAATAAAATTGTTTTCGAGCACCAAACATCATCAAAACTATTCAAGGAGACTCGGCTTCATTACCCTATGTAACAATGTACATGACCTGCCACGTGCTTGAACGCAGGCTTCTTCAGGGAGGGAGGTTGTGGGGAGTACAATATGAACCATGTCCTCATAAAATCACTGGTCACAGACAAAATGCACACTCTCTCCTTCATTTGCTGCAGTGGTTTGGATTTGATCCAAACCACTGCAGCAAGTTACATAAATGACCTGCCACTCCGCCCTGTGAATTATGTCTCATTCTGTGTGAATGAGGAGCAAGAAAATAAACACAAATTCATTTATGGTGATTTGCATGCTGAAATTTTTAAAGAACACATACACGTGCACGACACATAGTTTGCATGCTGTGCATAGTGTTAATGCTGTGGGTGACTGGTGACATGGTGCATGCTGGGATAGGCTTCGGCCCCCGCGAATGTGCACAGTAAAGAGGCAGTGATAAATTTATGAATTTTGAGATGACAACCATCATGCAGGATGTGCCCCACTTCTGACACTGTGTCAGCCGGGATAGGGGAGGAGCTCTACTGAAATACAAGATTTGTGGTCACTTCACCAAATTTTGGGTAAACATCAGACTTGAGGGGTAAACAACCAAAATTTATGATTTTTGAGGACAGAAAAATTTGGTATCTAACACATTTTGGGGAGCTCCAATAAATTAAAGTTTGCCTTTGGGGCCAATGTAAACACAATTTGCTCAGGCTCCAAAAAAAGCGTGTTCCAGAAAAGTAAACCTTTACACTGCTGTAGGTGGAGAGAACGGAGTCGAGAAAAGCAGCTGAATTGAGGATTAGACAGTTCTATCCTCCTTCCTTTCTCCAGTCAGAAAGAAGCTGCCCACTTGTCAGGACAGGTTGGAATGTTTGTCAGTGTTTCTGACACCTGCTGACCTTGTACTGCCCCCCTCAGGCTGCACTGAAGAAGTACCAGATGGAGCACAAAAGCAAAGGGGAGAGTTTGGAGAAGTGCCAGGCAGAGCTGAAGAAGCTGCGCAGGAAGAGCCAGGGCAGCAAACACCCCTCCAAGTACGGAGACAAGGAGATGCAGGTCAGTCTGTGTGTGAGCTTGTTCTTCACTGCTGGAAAAAGTAGATTGTGGTGATGCTTCGGTTTAGTGAAGCTTCTTTTGTGGCTCACGAGGAATAAAACGGTCTTGTTTTTGTGGCTGGTGGAGGATCCTCGTTCAGCTGGAAGTCCACGGTATAAAAACATAAGACAACATGGCTTCAGTCCAGCCTGTGGTGCAGACAACCTGCCTCTGAAGAAAACAGTAGTTGTTTTTTTTTTATTATTGTTCAGCAGAATTAAAATCACCAACACACACATGTGCTGACTCCTATTTGTGTACCACACAGTCTAGTCAGTCTCTGCCCTCCTCTTGATGAGGTTTGAGCTTCAGCCTGGCTGAATCCATGCCTACTCCCAGTGCTGGTGGGAGAGGACGTGCTGAGCTAAACAGGTTGGGACCCCCAGCTGGGCACAGCCGGGTGTCACTGTGTGAGGCTCTTCATAGTGGCAGAAATGGAGGCAGTGAAGGTTATGACATGAACTTTGTCTCAAGCAAACACAAGCACAGATTCAGAGAGCAACAGTTACCGTGGCTGAAAGTACAGAGGACAGCCTTACTGAAAAAGTCAGGTTCTTCAGCCTGTGGCCTTTATCAAGGTCATCAAATAACGCTGGGAGAGTGCATTTATATAGATCATTAAAAGGTACAACAGCCAGTCACAATACAGTATCTACCAACAAATCAAATGTATAGTCACTTGGTTTTAGACCAAGCAACTGAAAGGGTAATGAATTTCATTCAAAAGCTTCATAGAAAATGAAGAAAACATAAAGAAATGATCCACTGTGACGCACATTATGACAATATGTTCAAAATGCAATGCTGACACTTATTTTGTAACTCTGCCAAAGTACTGTCATAACTTTCGCTGTTTACATCTATTTCATTACTTGCTGCACTTTATCACTATTGTATAATATTTGTTTGTGATATCCAGGCAGGCGAGTGGGTTCAGTGAGACATATTTCTCCCATGTTCAGGTAACTGCCTGAGCGGAGGCGTGAAGAGACGGTGTGAGTCTCTGTAGGTGTTGTGGTGACGCATGGTGGGCGGGCACTCTTACACAACCTGCACAGGAGATGCTGCTGTGATGTCTGTCCCTTCAGCTGCTCCTCACAGTGAGAGGCAGACAGGGACCGTTCATAAGGAGTTCTGTGGGTGGGTGCAGCAACCTATAGGTTAACGGTAATGAGCATTCATCCTTCAGATGACTTGTATTCAGTTCAGTATTTTTGGTTGCACGTAGTTCACACAGCTTCAGCAGGTTGTGTTGCATTGTATAGGGTGTCAGGGCGAATAAGCTGAATCTATGGGTGATGGACTGAAGCTGGTCAGTGTTGTGAGATTTCTTCCTTCTCAGCACTTAAGGCAACTAATGTGACAAACTCAATGAAACAGCAGGTGCGGGGCCTCGTCCGCCGGCAGCCTGTCAGCACAGTGTTGTGCACGGCAAGAAACACATAGGAGTCAAGTATGTTGTATTTACATAGGTTAAAAATACCGCAACCCTGTAAACTGCAGCTTATTGTTTTGTCACATCGGTAATGTAGGTGATGGTGCTCAACAGGATGTTTTGTCCCCGTTTGGAATCTGTTAGAATGTGTTTTAATAGACTTTTGGTCTCCTTGGAGAGTTTTTTTCTTAGACTCATTAAGGGCTGTATTCATACATTTTCAGTATGGACAAAATAATAACAACCAAAAATAGTCTGAATCCCTGAGAATGTCACACTGGATAGAATGGGCTAAAGTGCTGCAGCAGCGTCAGAGGTTAAGAGCTAACTGTACAGCACCTCCCGAGGCTGTGGCGCTTGCCCAAATGCAGTGTAGGAGCAGCAGGGGTGGTAATCACTGTGTAATTGTTATTGTTGCTGCGATGGAGCGTGAAGGGGGCAGCTGGGCTGGTCGTTACAAAAATCGATGCAGGGAGCTACTGTAACAACAGCGTGAGAACATTGAGCCCAAAAGTCCTGCAGCTCCTCTGAGCTTTATCTGCTGATGGGCTGTGAAAGGTCCAGTGGCAGCTGAGAGGCCGAGTCTTTCTCCTGCACAGGCTTGGTCTCTGGAACTGAATGCCCTCTGTCTTGGTTATTTAAGTTCAGACACCAGTGTGCACATGTGTCTCTCTCGCTGCAGAAGGTTTTTATTTCTTTCCTGTTTTAGTCTTTGCTAGTTATCAGGACATCTCAATCTTGTTTACAAATTTCATTGGATTCCAGTAGAGTTCAGCCACAGGCCAAGAAATGTGGGGCTCGGCTTTGAATGAGCCAGAGGGGATTTTTTGCTTAACGTATCATAGCGTAATGTTTTCACTCTGTTATTGACCTGTGGTGCAATGCACCGATCAGATCCATATTAAAGCCATCACATGATTATAGTATTTTCCAAATTATTTTGACAACATGTGTTTCTTGTGGTGACAATTGCTGCAGTCTGTATTGCTCTCAGCTCATTACCTGGGGTCTACCACCACGTCTTTCTTGATGCTAAAAGAATGTGGTTTTCTTTGAGAAGGATTGTGTAGCTTTGGCAGAGATGTGTGCTCTGTCTACAGTCGAGTCTGTGTGTGTGTGCACGCTGGCATGTGTTGTGGCCACCCTGA